ATAAGACAAGTGTAAAAAATTTATAAATAAAAAGAAGAATTAGGAATCAGGAATGGGAGCATCAAAAAGTGAGGAAACAAGGTAGGAATGGATGTATTCTCAGTTGTCATTTATGCAACAGTTGAACATTTGAAATCTTTTAAACAACAACAAAATATTTTATTTACATTTTAAGAAGCTACAAAATTAATATAATAATTAACATTAAATATTTGATATGCAAAGTGGCAAAAAGATGCATTGATCAGATATCTAATCAATCACCCTTATGATGATTAGTTTTAACTGAAGTGTACACGGAACTTTAATAAATATATATTAACATATTATTCCTTCAAGATATTTAAGAAGTAAGGTCCTGAAAGTATTTATAAATTGTAAAAAATTAAGCATCTTTAAATTACTAGGTATTTCAGATCATAACTCTTCTAAATTTAACTGATCTTTGACCCAAAGAAGAAAGACATTGAGGTAGATAAAAGTAATTGTAAGTAGCTAGCCTAGTAACATGATTATGAACATCATTTAGCATGATAAAGTAATTTTGGAAAATTTGAGATAACATTTTTATTTATAAATTTATACACACAGTATGCTAAATGTACTTTACAAACATCACTGATTTTCAGAATATTTGAAGCCATATTGTATGGTATCACATCATCTATCCTTGATTCAAAGTTCATATATTTTATAATTTTTTATTATGAAACAATTTCGACTTTATTTAAGTTTCTAACATTAGCTGACCCCAGCTCATAATTGAATAATTAATATAAAGATATACATGTGCATGATAAATCACCTATAATATTTCAAATGTAACATAATTCTTGAATTTAAACATAATACGTGTAGTTTTTGATATTTAATTCAAATAATAGTTTAATACTAATGATCTTTACATGTTGTTTCCAGTCTGATTTATTATCTATGATGACTCTCAGATATTTGAACAAAGCATACAAAATGCAAAAAGTTTAGGAGCCTAATTCCTTTTTTTGGTTGCTAACTGAGAGTTGTTATTATAAAAAAAAATGGTTGGTACTTATAACCTAAGCATTCTAGTTCAATTTACACTAATATAATGAATAGAGTACCTGTTATAGTGGTGTGTTTTCTAAAAGATCCAACATTTTAAGAAATATCACATTAAAGAATACTGTAACCCACTCTCAAAATACAACAAAAATTTTACTTAATCATCTACTGCATGAAGGTGAAATACCATGAGACTATTTCATTGTTTTTTTTTTCTTTTCTTTAAACATATGTGCTAACAAAAACCTTATAAGAATTTGGGTGATGTACATCAAATTTAGATATCTATCAGTTTGTGTAGGTTTAAAGTAAATACTTGAGATAAGAATTTGGTGAATTTGTAGTCAAAAGAACAAGGATCAGCAAAAAGCCATTACATTCTTGTTTGAAGGAGAATTGGATAAATAGATTTTTAAATTTCAAAACACACAATGTCAACATATGTTTATACCAGTGGTTCATTTGAGCCTCATTGTTTCACATATTGGTTTTTCTACATATGTTTTGTCAAACATTTTATAGAAATTTTAAAGCTGTTAATTGGATCTCCCATTTTTTGTATTAAAAATTCTGAATATATGGTTAAGGAGTTATTAAATAATACTATCATAGATGCTGATTTAATGATTTTGTATCATGCCATTAGCCTTTTAATCCTGTTTTTTTTTAGCTGTGGAAGTAACTGAATCAAAGTTAAAATTATATCCACTTTCAGTTCCCATACTTAACTAACAATATCAGAACCATAAGATTGATTCATTTTGTAACAAATTAACTTTAACTATCCTATAAATAAAAGGCTATGAATAGAGAAATTGGGTATTGTATACCAAATTGAGTGTGATAATTGTAACTCATCTTATATAAGTAAAACACAACATTTGTTAAAAACCAAGGTCATAACCAGAATATAGAAAATGTGGGTTATCACTAATTTATAGTTACAAAAGCATTTATGACAAATGTGTTAAGAATGGAGAAATGATTTTAATATATATATAGCAGGATTATGAATTTGCTTATCTTTTTTGTCGTGTTTTCAATTAAGCTCACAATACTACTGCCTTATATATTTTATCTAGCACCTAACAGTGAGTTAATTTTTTTTATTTAGTTTTAGTTAAAATAAAATTAACAAGTAATTTTATTTTATGAAATGTATGGGTTTTAAAATAAATTATTTCATAACATTCGCCTTGTAATAACAATTACTAAATTATTGAATATAAAATGCAAATGTTTGTAAGAATTTCAAACAGCAGAATTGGATTACTTACACAAAAATATTGTTTTATTTTATTTTGAATAAATGTGCTTTTGTCTGAAATATCTTTTAAAAGACAAAACCTCTGCTTACTGAACTGTGCAGATCTTGTTTAAAAATAACAATAAAACAGTATAATCTGTGGTTAAATTTTAAGGCATCAGACATCATAGAGGCAATTACAGAGGCATCATTCACAACCATAATTTACAAGCCTTATGTACACTGACATTCGATGAAAACTCATAATTTTTTATACTTTTTTATTTGAAATTTTCAGTCAATTAGTATTAATTCAAAAGCACATATTACACTTAGGTGTATGTTGTCAGTGGATAAAGCAGACATTCTGAACAAATTATCATCATGATGTCCCAGAGTTAGCATTATTGTAATGAGCACTCAAGTCCACCAAATTGGATGAAAATGTCCCTCCATAACAGGTGTGTCCACCTCCTGCAGCAAAGCATGCCTTGGTCTTACGTCTCATACTGGCTACCAGATGTCTGATCTTGTTGGGAAATTCCCAGCCACTCATCCGGCAATGCCTGGATTAACTGTTGTCTGTTCTGTGGTCTGGGGTAACTTTTGAATATGTTGCGGCCTAGCCCATCTCATAGATTTCAATGGAGTTGAGGTTGGGTGAGTATGGTGGCCATGGAATTATGTCAGTATATTCCGCCTGGAGATAGCCTGTGGTGACACGTAACAGAGTGCAGATGAGCATTGTCCTGCTGCAAAACAGTGATGTTATGGTGATCTCTGAGGAAGGGAACCACATGGGGCCTTAAGACGTTGTTGAAGTATCATTGTGCATTCAAGTTGCCCTCGGTGACTACCAGAGGTGTTCTGTGGTTGCCTGAAATGCCTTCCCATACCATGACACTAGGGCCACCCAAGTGATTGGTCTGTCTGATGCAGCAATCGGCATAACGTTCATTCTGTCTTCTCCAGATACATTGATGTTCATCAGCCCAGTCAGTACAAAAACATCACTTCTCTGTGAAGAAAACGGTGTTCTAGTCTCTCTGGGTCCACCTCTCCTTCTACCTACACCACTGCAGCCTGGTTTGGCAATGTGCTGGAGTGAGGTCTGGGCCCCTGACAGGTCTACGTGTGTCAACCCCCTCGTGACATAGGCAACGATGAACAGTTGGACTGCTTATATGGTAGTCAAGTAGTCCTGGCGAATTACGTGCAGTCTGATTAGCAGTCTGGAATCTGTCAAAAAAGTGCATCAGATAGATAGCTCTATCTTGATGTTACGTTGTGACGTGTTGATATCCTGGACATTGTCGGTCATTAACTGAGCCTGTCAGACTGTGGTGCTGAACCAGCCTTATAATGGTTGACTGATTGCATCTCATTCTCCGTTCAACTTCTTGCTGGCTTGCCCCTTCCAGCATACTGATAGCATGGTGACATTCATTGCATGATAAACATGGCAAGGTATTCTGTAGTCACTATGTCATACCGTATTCAGGTTGTGCAATATATAGCCCCCATTTTCCATCCCTACACGAGATTGGAAAGACAACGGCCAGTAGCAGACCACAGAAATGGGCTGATTTGTCATATGGTGATCAGGATTCAAAGGGAAGGGTGTCAAAAGTGCAAAGGAGTGGTTATTTCACATTGGATGGGCCTCAGGTGTTTACACAGGGAATGGAAAGTTGATATTTTTTAATATGGGGCAAATTACTTAAAACAAAATATTATGCACTTTCGTTGACTGTCAGTGTAGAATTCATTAATATATGCATAATAGGCAATAAAACTCACTTTGTCTGTAGTGTATTAATTTCATCTCCAAGGTGAAAAGATGACAGTGTAAATTTATTTCAATATGTACTTTTCAGCTTGTACCTAGGCAAAGCTGTAATAGGACATGTATCAGTGCATGCTTGTTACAAGTGTATATGCAATATTCTCTTTTTAATAATAGTGACAAAAATGAATCATCCATAGAGCATACTTTAAATAATTTCTAAGTTAATGCTTTTCCTTATTGGCAAAGTGGCAGCCATCTACCAACACATGCATAATATGTTTTGGTTTTTTTGCTCTTTGTCAAATATGTCAAATTATAGCTAGAGAATATTTTTTCCTCTCTAAAAACTGTTTGTACTCAGGTGCCAAGAACCCAGCATGTCTGTGCCCATGGTTAAAAACTTGTATTCTTGAGTGTAAAAGAGCTGTCTAAAAATGAAAAAGTCCAGATCAACCAGTCTATTGCTGACCATGCTTTTTTAGCAGATAACAGCATAAACTGGGGCAATGCTAAAATTCTTGTTACTAGATCATACACTATTTCTGTAAAGCATGGGATAATATTCACAATTATAATTTTTTATGGAACTGAGCTTTAAGTCAATCCCCCCCCCCATTAAATTTTTATAATCCTGATTTCCTTTGTAGTTTATTTCCTGCATGTATAAAGGCCCTTGAGAATGATAACTAGTAGTCATTTAAACATCAGGCAGTTCTAAACACTTTTATTTTAACTGATTGTGCATATTTTTAATGAAAGGTAAAGTTTTGTTGTCGTAATGGTTTATATGTTTGTACTTAGTCAATCAACCAATTTACATAAACGTAGCTTAGTTTTTCTTTAGGCATCTGAAACAAATTAGTTAAACTAGTTAAAGGTGCTTAATTTTAATTGTTTTCTTTGAAGTATCTAGAAAAGTATTATCTAAAATATATATATATTTGGTTGTATTCTGCTTAAAGTAGGTTTATATTACTTAGTATTAGACTTATTTCAAAAAATGATAATTTTTTGTTTGTTAATTAAGACAGTTTTATGATATTCTTTCAGTTAGAGCTGAAGATGCAGGAGACTGATAATATTATGCAAGGTTTGCAGGAGTTTTGTGATCCAATTATACTAGATAATAGATCTGAGAGCTCTTCTCTTCCATCAGATAATGAGCAGGTCAGTATAGGGACTTGTGGGTTATTTTTTTGACACAACTTTAGATACGTTTACCTTCAACATTAACTTTGTTAAAGTTTATTAGTAACTCATGCTAAGTTATATAAGCTATTTTTACTAAATTCTAATTAAAATGAAGTCTACAGAACTTTATTGTCATATTCAACAACAAACATTACATAAAAATCAACCGAGAAATGTTCAAAAATTTTTTGAATAATTTTCTTTTCTAATTTCAAGATATTAGAGAAATGGGTCTTAATGCTGATCAAAAAAAGTTTTTAACTTACCACATATGTGTCAGTAAAAATCTTCACAGTTTCAGCTGTGAGTGCATTATGAAAGTGACATTCAGTTCCATTATTTGGTTCAAAGAGTCAGACAAAGCCAATTGTGATGGTGGGTTCTACAAGCTGGCTGTCTTCTCTCTGGTCAGTAACTATATGCACAAAAAAAGTGTCATTCAGATTGAAAATTCTGTTTTCAGTTTTGTCATACAAAAAATTAGAGAGGTATTTGATGTTTTGCACTCCAATGACTCAGTACTAAGTCTGAAGTCTTATAATACTAAAAATTGAGTTTTGGATCTACATGATAGGCACAGTGTGTATAGCCCATGCAGCTTTATGCTTAACAACAACTAACAAACTAATTATAATGCTAAAAACCAGGTTTTGATACCTGTGGTGGGCACAGCATGTATAGTCCATTGTATAGCTTTGCAGTTAATAATAAAAACTTTGCCATTTTAAATCTCTTATACTAACTGTTGCATATTACAATAAACCAGAGTATAATCATCTTAACATTTAAGTTTCTTTGTTTATTTCAGAATCAATTTTTCTGTGAGTACCTTTGTTCTGTTCTTAAAGTGCTTATTGATGAAAGAAGTTGTTATAAGTGTTTCACTCTGTTGATACTTAATAAACTAAACCTTAACTAATAGTTACTATCTATAATTAATAAAGTTATTTGCTAACTAATCTGGTTTATAAAGGTAAACACAGTAATTTTACCTAAAAAGAAAAGAACATTAAAAACTGGAAGGTTATAATGTAATATACAAAGCAAGGTGTCCAGTAGTAAAAATCTTACAGATTATGCCCTCTTGTCAACCATTTCTCTCAAACAATATTAAAACTGTACCTAATTTTTGGAATGACAACAGCTGTAAAAATGTCCTTAAGTTTAAAGGTTACTTGATTATGTGACAGACCAGTGGTGCTAAAGAAGGAAGGAGAAAAATGCCACCATACTTATAAAAGCAGTGCTGTGAAAAAATATCAAGATTATTCAAAGAAACTAGAATATTAGCTAGGAATATGGCAAGGCCTGTTGTCATGAGTGACTTTAGTTTTCATATTACAAATGTGCCACAATTCAAGGTAATTCAGTGCATTTTGGTTGTGGTCTCACTCTGTGGCCTTGCATCTTTTACAATATACAACGTGATTAGATATGGAAGAATGTTCTGCTAGAGCTGAGTACAATGTGTTATTATGTTTGTGGTCCCTTTTATGTTTTGAAAGTCTAACTTACAGTTATAATGGCTGAAGTATAGTTGTGAATTACACCTTTCCATAACTAATTTAAAATATTTTTTTAGTGAAATATATTCTTGTAATTTTTTTATAAATTTTAAACAGGTTATTTGCTGCAAATTCTTGTACAAACTAATGGATTAGGGGAATTTCTTTCCTATAAATGCTATTTTGAACTGTTATTGATGGTATATTGTTCTTTAGTGTTTTGTCTGAAATTGATTGGTAAAAATCAAATCAGAATTATCTTTGCTTTGTCCTGTATGGGTGAATGTGAGTAAAAAAATACATATCTCAACTCCAACAGATGGTATAGTCACTACAGAACAAAGAGGCTGACCAGTCTTGTAAAAAGAAATGTTAAATAATAATCATGAACAAAGTTTATGCTTTATCTGTTCACTTATTTGTGTGTAAATGAACAATTCAGTAGACCTTAACAGGAATTACTGTTGTTTAGTTTAGGAAGCCTATAAAACTAAGGGGTATACCTTTTATTACTACATTTCGAGGATCCATAGAATTGATATATTGAACTCTGCCCTAGCAGAACATTCTTTCATTTCTACTCATGTTTTAAACTGGGAAGGATGCAAGATCATTGATTGGAGCCATAACCAAGATACACTAAATTTCCTTAATTTGTGGCATATTCGTAACACCAAAGCCAAATGTGGTTGTGACACTGGACCTTGTCATATTCCTAGCTTATATTCCGTTTTCTTCAAATAATCTTGATTTATTCTCCATAATGTTGCTGTTATAGATATTATGGCACTCTTCCCATTTCTTCTATAATGGCGTATTGGTTTGTCATGTGATGTTTTAAATTTGAGAAAATTTTTGTATGTCTTGCTATTCCAACTTCATACAGAAAGCTGTTGTCTTTTGAAAAATTAAGTAACAGATTCTAATGCGTTTTCTTTTGTTAAAATTACTGAGCTTGCTTTTATAAGCTAGAGTATCTAATAAATAACTTTATAAATAATGAATTTACCTGGTTCTTCAAAGTTTGTAATGAAATGCTAATTTGTGAGAGCTGAGTATATTTAATTTTTGTATGAAAGAATTATTTCATGTTAAGAAGGCTAGTGTTATTGTATTTAAATGAAACAGTTGAAAACCTGAATCTGGTAGCATGTTTAAAGATTACAGGAACTTTCACACGAAAATAAAGTGATAAATATGTTTCTTTAAAATATCAATATTCCATTGGAACATTTTAAAGAAAAAGTTAGTAATTGATAACCTGTGAGAAAATGATGAGAGTTGAGCAACAAAAAATCTACAATGTTTTGAATGTAGCAACAATCTTACATATATTTTTCATCAAAACAATTTATAGAAATGATTTGTGTACAGTATCAGTAGTTAATATATGGCCTAGCAACAGAAAAGGGGCCAATATAATGGTATATTTTGTACCTCTTATAGTGACATTTAGAAAGAGAATACTGTTTATAAAAAGTCCATCTGTTTAATTATGTTTTAATTGTATGATTTGAAGTAGATAGCAAATTGATTTAAGTACCTAAGAAATCTGCATAGAACAACTTTCAGGTCTGACAAAATACAGGTCTGCTTGAAAAAAATAATTGTGAAAATTTTTTTTTATCACAGTGTATTTCACAACATTGCATATCTTATGTTCATCAGAATTTTTTATTTTTTTTCACAGAAAAAAGAAGTATTGGACAAAAAGAATGTGATTTTCCAGAATCAGCATAACGTAGATTTCAGAAACACCTTAAATGGTAATGAATATTAACTTCTGATAAGAACAAGCTATATACTTAGAAGAAAACTAAAATTCAACTTGTCAATCATTATATATATATTTCTTATGTTTCTACTTATAAAGATTAAAAAGCATTATTTTATCAGTTGGGTACCCTCATTGTTAACAACATGTTTGGCTGTAAACCAATTAATATCTCACAAGGCTCATAAAATTTAATAGATTTTGGTTAGTACCAAATACATATATTAAGCTAACAATGCAGAAGAATCTTTATAATGAAACTATAATAATAAACAATAAACAGAAGAAAGAGCAATGACATTTGTATACTAAATTGTGTAACCTATATTGTTAATGAAAATAACAATAAATAAATATTAAAATATACCTTACCAGAAATACTAGATGTCTGCTTGAACTTCTTTTCTAGAATAAAGTAATTTTGTGTGTGTTTGTAAGTAGACACTGGGTTTATGATTTAAATCAAGTAAAAAATGGTAATGGCAAAGAAAAATCACAACTGCTATATTGTTATGAACCTTGGAGCAATCAGAAATGTTTTTACAATTTTGGAGGTTTGACCGTATATTTAAATAAAATCAACATAACTTTTATCAGTAGCCTGTATTAGAAATTAAAACTAATCAATAACAAACTCAAAGCCTTGGAGAAAACACAGAGTATCATTGTTTATTCATTTGCCTACTTTGATATCAGTTTGCTCCATTAGTCAACAGGAATCTCCCTAGACCAGTGGTTCACAGCATTTTTGGCAGTAGAGATCAGCACCATTGAATATGTAATTTTTGTGGAGCATTAATGACAAGAATACTAGAAATAATAATATGCAGCTAAAGACCTTTTTCTTTAAATGAAGACATCAGTTTTTCAACTTCAAAAATTGTCTCATTTTCATATACTGATAAAATGTTAACCTTGGGATAGTGTTACGGAACCACTGTCCATAGAGAATCCAAACTTGTGTTAAATCTAGACATACATGTATATTTTTCTCATATAAAATGAAATCATTGTAATAGTAATCAAAACCTCAAATTTGTTCATTGCAGATCATATTATAATCATGACATAAAGACTACAAAATTAAACTAGGAGAAAATAAAACAAAATTGAATCACTGTAAGTGAAGTTTGTTGAACTTAATATATGAGAATTAAAACAGCAATGAAAGTATTAATAAATATTTCGTATTTAATGCTCTTTTTTTTTTTCTTTTACCAGAATATTTTACAAATGCTTGTACATTACACTATGACAGTTACGAGAAGTGTTATGATTGATATCTTATTAGTGTGAAACAGTTACGTAACTATTTATAATGAGCATCTGATAAGTTTAGCTATATAATCATGTACTTACATTATTAAAAGTACCTCAGCTTACACAATTTCAAAACTAAATTGTTTTACAGTTTGAGCTTACCTGTTATTAGCTTTTACTAAGGTTAATTTTTGCTTTCACTTCAGTGCATTTCTGAATACTCTTCTTACACTGCTTCACCTTTCTGTTCTTTTGCTGCTTTATGTTTCTACGCTTAGACTGCATTAAATTTCTTTTGTGACACTGCTTTAAATTTGTTTTATTACACTGCTTTACATTTTTATTCTTAAGTTACAGAACATTTCTACACCTACTTTACAGTATTTCTACACACACATTGTTGTATATTCTTACTCATAATCTACATATATGTGTTTTCTTATGAGACGATGTATTTGTACTCCTAAACCATAGTACATTTCGACTTTTACAGAACAATACAGGTCTTACACTATATTACTTTTCTGTTGCTACACTGCAAGCAAATATTTACTCTTTTACAGTACATTTATATTCTTTCACCACAGTACCTTTCTGTTATTACACTACAGCAAACTTTTACTCTTTCTTTACATTACATTTCTACTGTTACACCATAGTATATTTCAACTTCTGTCTTCACATTATGTCTCTAGTTTGCATTTACTGCGATATATTTCTGCCCATATACTTATAACAATCTTTTCCTCCTTAAACTGCAGTATATTTCTCTAAGGAGGATGCTGCTGCTTTATAAAAGGACTTAGATCATTTATTGAGTTGGACAAATAAATGGCAAATGGACTTTTATTGTAATAAATGCAAAGTAATGCATGTGGGTTTTCATAATTTGAATTATAAGTACAATTTCGATAGGAATAACTTTAACAGTGTTATGAAAGAAATGGATCTTGGTGTAGTGGTTGATAGTCTTTTAAGCTGTCCAAGCAGTGTGCTGTTGCTAGCAGTAGGGCAAATAGGATTTTAGGTTGTATCTACAAAAATATGGAATACAAATCTAAAGAGGTTATAATTTCATTGTCACTGGTTAGGCCACATTTGGTGTATTGTCTTCAGTCTTGGGCTCCTTACCTTGGGAAGGACATTGAATTGTGGAAAGGATTTGGAAGAAGGCAACTAGAATGGTGTCTGGAATGGAGTGTCATACGAAGAGAGGTTAAGATCTATGAAATTGTTTTTTTGTTAAAAAAAGAAGAGTTAGGAGGGATCTGATTGAAGTGTTGATGCATCATCTTTTTTTCATACTTATTGGTGAGAATGGTAGGAATAGGGGACCCAAATATAAATCCTGGTAGGGTAGGAGTTATCTTCAGCTAAGACAATTTTGTTTTCCTAACATGGTGATTGTCCTTTGGAATGGGTTGCCTTTGGATGTTGTGGAGACAGTAAATTTAAGTAAGTTTAAGAAAAAGATTGATAAATATATGAATGATAAGGGCTGGCCTTGAGGTTTTTTTTTTTTATTAATTAATTTTAGTTTTTTTAGAGGATGGGATTACCTAGATGGACCAATAGATTCCTTGATGTCCCTAAACATTATGTTGTGTTATTTTCATAACAAATGCACATATACCAAGTAAATCTGTGTGTATAAAAAGTTTGATAAAAATTAATTTGGGGCCCACTGTTTGTCAGCATACTGGAAGAAAAAGTAATGGCTATATTTTTTTCTGAGACAGATTTCATGGATAGGCCAAGCAAAAACTGTGAAAGCTGTTATAGTTTTGATTCTGAATCATCTAGTGTGGCAAGCACAGACTTACCCACAGGAAGGTATGGAAAATTATCTTTAGCTTGTTAATTAAGAATTTGTGAATGATTCACTTCAGACTTGTACAGGCTTAGATTCTAAGAGCAAAAATAAAATTATGACATGGAATTAAGGTATGAAAGTTTTAGTTTCTACTCAGATTTAGCTGGTTTGTGGACAGAACCCAGACAAAATGACTAACAAACTACAGATACATAAGATTATTTTAATTATACCTGATACTGTGCTGTTATTTTTCCTTTGTTAACCAGTCAGTCTGAAGCTTGAAACCCACATATCTAGAACACTAAGGAACCTTTACAGAAAAGTAGACAAGGTTTTGTTTTGTTTATTTGTTTTTGGCTTATCGGCAGCGTCAAGTATATATGCTAGTACGATCTAGTGCTATTGCATCCTAGGAAAGTTTCAAAAAGAAGGTAATGTTAAATGGCATTATTTCCCACAGTTTAGCTCAAAAACACTTATCAGACTGTAATTAATTGTATTTAATATTCATGCTTCAGCTTTTATGTAAAAAAATGTTTCTCTTTTCCAGGACCTTGGAATACATGTGGCTGCTACTGTTTTATTTGCTTCCTTCAATCTTTGTGTGGAAATATGACTCAAAATGTCTTTAATTAATTAAAAAGTGCATATGAAGAATCTAGTTACAGTTGGATTATATAATATTCAGCTTTAAATTTTTTTTAATGTTTTTTAGGAAAATAACTATAAAAGATTTACAGAAATGACATTTACAAAATATTGGCTCCCGAAAACAAGAAATCTTTGATCCTAATGATTTCAACATTTATTAGAAATAAAAGTTAAGAAGTAGATAATCTCAAATATAAAATTTGTCACAGTTTTTTTGTCTTAGATTATTGAATATTTGAATAAATACACAATTAAAGTATAAATACTGCTATTATCTCCTCTTGTAACATAGACAAGTTTTACGAAATTGAGACAATTGTACATTTCACAAATACATCATTTATTCACGACCATGGTTTCTCTATTAAAGACATCATCAGATACAGACTAAAATGTTTTCTAACAACAACAAGAAGTATGTGCGACATTCAATATCTCTACACTGTGCCTTTGTCATGTGAAGATTATGAAACTGAATTTAAAACTATAAAACAAACTGCTGTTAACAATGGTTATACAACAAAGTTAATTAGCACATTGTTGTTTAAAAAAACTGAATGGCATAAACAACAACAAAAAGAAATGGTTTAAGATGAGCTACATTGGAAAACCTTCTTACAAAATATATAACACACTGAACAAAAAAATCTACAGACTGGTCTTCTGCTGTAAAAACAAACTAGGAAAAATGTTATGCAAAAACACAGACAGAATTGAAAATTACAGCAGCAACAGTGTTTACCAATTAACGTGTCAAGACTGCAATAGTGTATACATCGGTCAAGCAGGAAATTCCATAGAAATGAGAATTAAAGAACATTCTAGAAGCTGGAAATTAAGAAACATGGATTCAACCTTTACATCCCACCTTGTTCAAACTAAAAACCAATTTGATTCAGAAACAAAAATTCAAAATTTTATATATTTATGAAAAAGGTAAAAAACTAGATAGCCTGAAAATTTTACAAATAAATAGAAATTTAAAAACAAATCCAGAAAAAAGTTCTAAATGACCAAACCAACTTAAGCTCCTCCCCACTTGTCTCTAGGTGAATGTCAAGATCACTTCCACTTCTGTGTTTCTGTCTGTACTGATGATGCCTTAAATGGCAAAACCATGGTCATAATAACCGATGTATTTGTGAAACATACAATTGTCTTGTTTTTCCTCAATTCTGTAATTATGGAGTTTCACCAAATACTGATGGTTTCAAGTATCAATTATATAAACATGGTTTATTTTTATTATCCAGTGCTTTGGGCTTTAACTCAGGAATTTACAAAATTGTGAGATTGCCAGCAAATCAACTGACAAGAATTAAGAGATGTTTAATTTTAGTATGTTTAATAGAGTAAATTGTACTGTCTTTGATATCAGCAGTTGTTCTATATGGCTTGTGGAATTAACTGATGTAGGTTTAAGCAGAAATCTTGAAAAATAAAATCTGGTTTTGAGAGTAGGTGGAAGTTGGATGTGTATATATTTGTTAGTTACGTGTGACTCCACACTTAGGATAACATTATTATCATTGAATGAATTATTATTACAAAAAAATGTTTCATCTATTAGTTTGGTTCCAAAATGTTTCAGTATAACAAATTATTTCTCTTTAGTTTATTCTGTCTGCCGGTCATAATATGACAGTCAAACTTTATCTGTAGCTAAAGCCACAACATAGGTTAGGAAAAAAAAAAGCTATTTTGCAGTGATTAGCACGAAAAGAATACATTAAATTATTGTCTTGTAATCCTGTTTACTGTTTGTTTGTTTTTGGAATGCATACACAAAATTAATGCAATAAAGTTTCTTTTAATAATATTGTTTTCTAACAGTTCATGCTCTCAACTGGTCAAATATAGATTAATCTGTAATGTATTCATTAACTTTTTTTAATAAATGCTTTTCCTAGCTTAAGTAGCAGTGGGGACGACCCAAGCCAACCTACCAGTATTCCCACTCCAAGCCCCCGAGGAGATGAAGAGTTGAGCTTTGATGTAGTGTTTGATAGTGAAGTGAGTATCAGTTGTATAGTCAAGTTTAGAAATGTGTGTGTAAGAAAACTGATTTTTGTTTCTGCTTTATGATGTAATATTAGTTTTTTAGGGGGGGAGAGACAATTTTCATTATGATTGCTAGCAACTGTATTATGTAATATTGTTTTATTTATTGTTGTTCATCAGAATTACAGATTTACCAATTTTTGACAAAATATAAAATTGAGGACAAACAAAGGTACTTGCATAATAAACAAACAAACAAAAAGTTTGAATTTCAGAGTAAAACATCAATATAAAATTATATGAAAAAGTTAATCAGGTATAACTTTCAACATTAATGTGACAGAATAAATTTCATTTATAAAGAATAGTTTACAGTAAATACTCTTTATACTCAACTTTCTCAAATTTATACCAAAACAATAAATAAAACGAAATGGCACCTGAGGTGAAAAGTCTTTATGATATGAGTTTTATATTTGTAAATCAGGTGCATAATCAAACTGTAATTCTTGCAATAGTTGCTGTAGTACAGACAAAAGAAATGAAGCAGTTTTTAAGAAATATTCACATTTTATATTTTGATTTCATTTTCTGATTTTTCTAATTGTGTTGAATTCTGTTTTGATTCATATTTTATCTTAAAGTGTTGAATTAAGTGAAGTTCAATAACAGCTTTTCTAAGAGTAATAATGTTCAAAGTGCTATTAGGATGAAGAAGAATAAATTTAAACAAAACTTACTTTCCCACAATGTGGTTTTTGTAAGATTTTGTTAAGAATTTCACCAATTAATTACTTTGCTTGTAATTTTAAATTAAACAATTCAATTGCATTAATTATGAATTAATAGATGACGTATGACTTCCTGCATTATTTCACAAAAGTATTACAGAGGATGATAAATTTTCCTTCTGAAATGTATAATACCATATGGGAATAATACATAACAAAATACTTTGGTAAAATAAATTAAATAAGAAATTCACTGCCCATTATTTTAATGAATGGGAATATTTCTTTTTGTGAGTAATAACTAGCATTATTAAAATATGATTATAAAGTAGAATAGAGTGAACTTAGTTATTTCTAATCACTTAAATTTGCAACATTTCTGTATTGTTATAAGTTACGTAAAAGGCTTACTAAAATTAAAATTATTATTAGTTCAGAAACATTAGGACTTCTCTTAAACTAGTTTATTTAATAAGGGTTAAAATCAGCTAGACAGTAAAATAATGAAATATATTGTGGCTGGCATTCTTCCTCTTTGGAAATTATCTGTTATTCCAAGTTCAAAAAATTCCACTAAGGATAATAGCTGATATTGTACAGAATTTTTCATTTTGAAATTATGTATACAAAAACATTTCTCTTGTACAGTTATTTGTTTTGGATAATAGTGATAACACTTTAAAAGAACAAAGACACAACTATATATAAAGGAAAAATGTATATTTTAGAGCATTATAGTAGGTACTAACTTTTTGTGTAATGATAAAATCTTATGATAGTCCTAGATTTTATGATGTTTTCAGATTTAATGGCTTAGTATATAACACAGATCTTAAAAAATAAATATATAGATAGATAGATATATAATGATGCAGAATAGACGTTTAAAAATGATACTGTCCCCAATCTCAAAATACAATAGAACATTTTACTTAATAATTTACTGTATAAAGATAAACTACCATGAGACTGGAAATACACTCTTCCATCTGATGATGAGCAGGTCAGTATATGGACTTTTGGGTTATTTTGTAATACAAGTTAAGGTGCATTTGCATTTAGCATTATCTTTGTAAAGGTTTATTATTAACTAAATTATATAAGCTATTTTACTAAATTCTCATTAAAAAGAAGTCTACAGAAATTTATTGTCATATTCAACAACAAACATTACATAAAAATCAACTGAGAAATGTTCAATAATTTTTTGAAATAATTTTCTTTTCTAAATTCAAGATATTAGAAAAACAGGTTTTATTATCAGAATTTACATATATATAAATTGCCTGATCCTGTTGGGCTAGGGTCAACTGAGTATTGGTGTTGGATGTTCTCAATGGGTGTTGTGGACATTGTGTCTAATGCTGGTGTTTGATAATAGTGCTCACAAGTGCCCTGGTGTTGCTGCAGTGTCTTTGTTTGGCACTGTAGTGCATCCACTCGTAGGACTCCATGGTGGATGGTGTCAGTGGGTACTGAGTCATTCTCTATTTACTATGGATCCCCTAATTCTAGTAAAAAGATAAACCTGTAAAAAACAGCTAATAGGTAAATGTCCACGCATAGACAATTCTGTTAGTCACCACCAAAATCAGATCATGCCTCGATTTTTAATTCTTCACTCTTGTCTGACAAATCCTTAGGGCAAATGTCTCTCTTTTTCATTTAAAAGGGATTAGAGGGTCTTGCTGGCTCTCCCAAGTCAGTCAGGAAGTTGTGCTTTGGAGACATCTTGGTGGAAACATCTACACCTACACATAGTGAGCTCCTCCTGAGGTCAAAGGCCATTGGGGATATACCCATTGAGGTAACTCCCCCATGCTACTTTGAATTCCCCCTGAGGAGTGATCGTTGAGAGGGATTTGAAAAACATATTCGAGTCAGAGATCCATGCTGGTTTTTCCAGCCAAGGAGTTTCTGCTGTGCAATGCATCTCAACTCGCAAGGTCATAATTATGCTGCTGACCAGTGTTCTCATTGTGATATTTCCATCGCCATGTCCACCTGCCTCTGTCAAGGCAGGTTATTTTAACTGTAATGATGGCCTTACATTCTTAACCCTCTCCAGTGTTTCTAGTGTCAGTGGTTCATACTTTTGAAGACATCTTGTTGTGGTTCTTTGACGTGTGCTCGTTGTGGTGGCTCGTTGTTCTCTTTGGATAAACGAGTTCACAAGTCAACATCTACTCCTTTCTCTGTCTACACCATTGTTTCCAGTGACTACCCGGGTCCACCTCCTTTGGCCCCAAATTCTGGTGTTTGCTTGGGTCCATCTTATTTCATCCCAAAATGCAGAAAGATTATTCATTCATGCCCTCAGTCACTATGTCTACTAGCAGAGACCTGCCCATTCGACCCAGATCAGGATCTATGGAAGTTGATAGACTTCCTTCTAGTAAAGAAAAACGGCGTGATCGTAAACAGAAGGGTTCTCTGCCCAGTTCTCCTCCACCTACATAAAAATGGCCACTTTGATACAGTGGAACTGTCGAGGTTTCCATTCTAATCTGAATGACATTAAAGCCTTTATTTATTCCTATTATCCCCTGTGTCTCTCCTTACAGGAAGCATTCCTGAAACCTGCCAGTACAGTCACCTTTCGGCAGTTTTCTTTATACTGGAATGACAGGTTATGTGATGGATGAGTGCATAGAGGGGTGGTACTGCTTGTCAACCAGCACATGCCCACTTGATACACTCTTGGAGGCTGTAGCCATCCGTGTTTTCTTGGATCGTACCATCACTGTTTGTTCTCTCTCTACCTGTCTCCTGGAGAAACTCGGGATCAGTGAGACCTTGGTGCTCTCATAGAACAGTTGCAGTCTCCCTTTGTAAACCTGGGAGTCTTTAATGGACATAATCCTCTCTGGGGTGGTGCTGATATTGATGGGAGGGGTCATTCTGTAGAATGTATGCTCTCGGTTCACAACCTTTCTACTGGTTCCTTTACCTATTTTCATGCACCTAGTCAGTCTTATACTGCTATTGATCTCTCTATCTATTTCCCTTCACTTTTCTCTCGTTTTTCTTGGAGGGCTGACAGTGACCCATGAAGTAGTGATCATTTTCTTATTGTTTTGAGGGAGATTGGTCGTGGTTGATGTTACCCGGCCCGAGTGCTAAAGTGGAAGTTGGAACAGGTGAACTGGCTCTCTTTCGTCTCTTACTTGGAACTTGATCCTGCTGTCATTAATCTGCCATCTATTAACAACTATGTGGAAGCTGTAACTGATTGCATTATTCATGCAGCTGTTCGTTCTATTCCCAAAACCTCGACATGCTTCCCTCAGTATCCTCATTCATGGTGGTCTCCATCCTGCCATAAGGCACAGAAGGCTCAGAAATGAGCCTGGGATACCTTTGAAAGGTATCCCACTCTTTCTCACCACATTGCTTTCCAGCAGGCATGTGCCCATGCTTGGCAGGTCAGACATAAAAGCTAAAAGGTATCTTGGAGTAAGTTTACAACTAGCATCTCTTCTACCACCAGTTTCAAAGTCATATGGAACAAGATTTAGAAGGTTAATGGGAGGTATATTTCCCATTCCCTTTCCATCTTGCTATCCAATGGCCGGGAAGTTGCTGATGTACAGAGCATCGCCAGTACTCTTGGTGAAAGCTTTTCTCATGCATCCAGCACTTCTGTTTCTGCCCCTGCCTTCTTGGCCATCAAGTCTTGGGCAGAGCGATTGCCTCTTTCCTTTCAGGCTGATTGTCTCTATGACGATAATCACCCCCTTACACTGGTGGAACTCAAACTTGCTATTCATTGGTCTGGCTGTACATTGGTCAGACATGATGATCTTCATTATAAGATGCTGCACCATCTCTCTTCTGCCTCTCATGCTATTCCTCTCTGGCAGGAGAACATTTTTCTTGATACCTGGAGCCAGGCTATTGTCTTCCCTTTCTCTAAGCATGGTGACAATCCCAAGATTATTTTTAATTATCATCCAGTTGCTTTGACTAGCTGTCTGTAGGTCTTTGAAATGTTGGTTAATGCTCGTCTTGTTTGTTTCCTCAAATCAAACAATCTCTTCTCGTCCACTCAGTGTAGGTTCCATCGACAGTGCTCCACCATGGACCATCTGAGTTGACTTGAAACCTTCCTCAGGAGAGAACATCTTGTGTCCGTGTTCTTTGATCTTGAGAAGGCTAAAGACACTATGTGGAGGTACAGCATTTTGCGGGACCTCCACTCATATGGGTTGCATGGCCATTTACACATTTTTATTCCGAACTTTTTACTACACTGATGATTCCAGGTCCATGTTGGTTTGA